TTTTTTTTTTTTTTTTTTTTTTTTTTTTTTTTTTTTTTTTCTTTCATAAAGCCCAGGAAGGGAGCATTTGGGAAGGAACTCTCCATAGATTTCTGTGGTAATATCCGCAACAGTGTTTTTTCTCTACCCATCCAGAATGGATCGACAAAGTGTACCTACCCACCAATCGCTTCCGGCTCCGGGAAGCTCACAAATATGTCACTGCTAAGCTGAAGGCATTGGAGATCCCCTTTCACAACCGCGGCTCCGGCCTCTATGTCTGGATCAACTTGAAAAAGGTGAGTTCTGGGAATGAGGACCAGTGTTCTTGGGCAGACCTGCCAGCTGGGTCTTGGGCTCAGCTCTGTTCCTCTGCCCTACCTAGTACCTGGATCCCTGTACATTTGAAGAAGAACAGCTCCTCTATCGCCGCTTCCTGGACCACAAGCTGTTGTTATCCTGTGGCAAAGCTTACATGTGTAAGGAGCCAGGCTGGTTCCGCCTCATCTTTGCAGATGAGCTCCCCCGGCTAAAATTGGGTGAGTGGAGCTGACCTTCCGATCCGTTAAAGATGCCCCATCAACTTAATATTTCAACCTCCCCCTGCCTTTAAACATCCTATATATCTGGCCCTTCTTTATTCCCTGTTTCCATGTCTATCTTTAATTGAGTGCTTTTGCAAACAAGAGCTGATACGTATCTCAAGCACCTGTCCATTCATTACCCATTTGGGGTATCTGTTCTGTGACTGCCACTGAGTGAGGCATTGGGGTCACAAGCTAAAAAGTAGTACTCTGCCCTTGTGGGGCTGGCAGCCCTAGGTGAGAATGGGACAGGCAGATGACTATGGAAGTCCCTGGATGCCATATGGGGACATACCTCTAGAGAGTTTAGATTCTTCTCTGAGGTTATAGAGAACAGGACATTCATGTTAACATTTATTTATCGCATTCCACTGCATGCCAGATGGTGTTGCAGCTGCTGGGAACATAGCAGTGAATCGTTCATTCTCATGAAGGTTTTTGTTGCAGAATTCTTTTGAGCTAGTATAGAAGGTAGGCTGAGTGAAGAGACACTACAGGCAAAGAGAAATCCTGATTAGGCCAAGGCCGTACGCTCCAGAGTACAGGCTTTGATACGAGACATTGAGATGTCTCGCAGGCTGACATAACAATGGTATTCAAAAACAAGTCAGGGATGTAACATGAGACTTGGAAATCCACCCCAAAGACGGGAGGGCTGAAGTTCAGGATCCCTGAATGAGAGGCGCTTAGGGTTGACCATGACCTGGATATGTCTGGGACCTACTTGCAAACCCACTAAACCGTATTTCTGTCTGTCCCCATTTGGACCCTCTAGCCATGCGTCGGTTCTGCGATGTGCTGGAGGAGCAGAAGCAGGATTTGATAGTGAAGCAGCTGGAGGATGCAATGAGGGAGTAAGCTGCCTGCCTCCCAACCAGAAGCTCCAGCCTGTCACTTGCTCAGGGACCCCCTAATGTCAGCCTCTGGCCCAGAAGTCTGGGGTGTCTTCTTGTCAGGGTTGTGATGGAGAAAATGGTGGACTCCTCCAGAAGGTCTCATCTGACCCCAGTCATCACCCTCCTGTAGCTGAGTGTCTGCTGTCTTTGGAAGCTTCGCATCTTTTTAGTCTTTGCTAGCCATTATATATGCAAAAATGTTTTTATTGGGGTTGGGGTGGGAAGGCCTAGAGGTACCTAGAGAAATAAAGGAAGCTCTCTGGGCCGCTATTTAGATGGCTTATTTTTATCTAATAAATTCTATCTTCTTTTAAATTCTAGGTCCAATTTATTTTCCTGTTTACATTCTTCATAATCATTTTTGGAAGTCAGATGATTTTCTGTCCTCCTTAATTTTAAATTCCAAGGCAGGTTCTATGTGTAGAATACTGTCTGGAGCAGGCCAGAAAAGGAAAGAAGCCATCCTTAACTGATAGGGCATTTTCCAGGCGTTGGATGCAATGTTCTGTAGGATTCTTATGAAATCACATCCACGTCCACATGACCTGCTAAGAGGCAGGTGGGAATATCTTTGCAGGTATTCCTGCTTCCAGATGCTAGAGTTTGTTCCACTTTTACCTTTCCAAAAGGCTTTTAAAGTCTCTTGCTGGGTGTGGGGCTTATGCCTGTAATCCCAGCCCTTTGGGAGGCTGGGGCCAGAGAATGGCTTGAGGCCAGGTGTTTGAGACCAGCCTGGGCAACCAAGACCCCGTCTCTACAAAAAATAAAATTAGCTGGGTGTGGTGACGTGTGCCTCTAGTCCCAGCTATTCAGGAGGCTGAGGTGGTAGCATCGCTCGAGTCTAGGAGATCAGGCCTGCAGTGAAACGTGATCATACCTCTGTACTCCAGCCTGGGGACAGAGACCCTGTCTCTAAAAAAAATCTGACAAGCTTGGTGTCTTAGTCCTGTTCTGATGTCAAAATATCACAAACTGGATGGCTTATAAACAAATCTTTCTCACGGTTCTGGAGGCTGGAAAAGCCAAGATCAAGACCCTTGCAGATTTGGTATCTGGTGAGGGTCCCATCTTCCTACTGTCATTGCGTGTGGCAGAAGGGGTGAGGAACCTTCATGCCGTCATGACCTAATCACCTTTAAAGCCTCACCTTCTAATACCATCACCTTGGGGGTTAGGATTTCAAATATGAATGTTGGGGCAACACATTCAGTTCCTGGCATCTGGGGTTGTCCATCCCCATCTCTAGTGTTTTCAGTTGTTCAAATCAAACACCCATCAGTTTCTCTGCAAAGCCCTCACATGTTAGAGCACTGATGCTGTGAAATAGGCAGAACAGAGACTACCACCATTTTGTGGATGAAGAAAGGGCTCACAGTACCAGCTGGTGGCTTTAGTTAGTCACTTGGATTAGTGGCCTGCCTTACTCCAAGTCCAAATTTGTTGATTGTTCAATGTCAGTTTTCTTCCACTAGTTTTTTTTTTTTTTTTTAAACAAAAAGAAGCAAGCCAATACATTGACTCTTCAAGGTTTTGTTAATACCAGAAAAGATTCTTCACAAATTGACAATGGCTACTAGAAATACAATGGTAATTCACTGGAAGCATGCAGGAGTTCATGAGACAAGGGAAGAAGGTGAAGATGGGAACAACAGATGCTCCTGGGATCTCTGTCATAGGAACCAATAGCCAGGCTTGAGGGCACTGTCCCTAGGATGGAAAGAATGATGCCTTCTGTGGAAGGGGAAGGCTGTTTCTGTCTTCTGTCCCACTCACTATTCGGGTAGTAGAATGTCAAACCAAGCATGGGCCACAGACTGGAGCAGAGATCACAAACCTGAAACATGACACCAGAAGGGAAGAAGGAGTTCACCGATGAAAAATTCAATGGTTTTTTTTTTTTTTTTTTTTGGTCAGGAAATATGGGTATAATGAAAACCCTGTGCTTCTCAGGCTTAAGGATAAGTGTTTTGAGGTTTATTTAGGAGAATGAGATGATTCCTGAAGCACTCCCACGTGGGGGTATTTATGCATGGTTTGTAAGCTAGAGAAGGTTTTGGAAGATCTGATGTAGATGTATATATTTATAGTGGTCAAAGGTTCGAGGCACATTTTCAGATACTGTGTCAGAGGTCTTGGCATTGATTCAAACCCACTGAGTTGGTATGGTCCAAATGGAGTCAAAAGTGTCCTTGAAGGTGGCTATACATGTGCATGATACAGCTCTTTTTTTCGGGGTGGGGGAGACAGAGTCTCACTCTGTCGCCCAGACTGGATTACAATGGCGCAATCTCAGCTCACTCCAACCTCTGCCTCCCAGTTCAGTGATTCTCCTGCCTCTGCTTCCCAAGCAGCTGGGGCTACAGGCATGTGCCACCATGCCCAGCTAATTTTTGTATCTTATTTTAATTTATTTATGTTTTAGAGATGGAGTCTTGCTCTGACACCAGGCTGGAGTGCAGTGGCACAATCTCGGCTCACTGCAACCTCTAACTCCTTGGTTCAGCAATTCTCCTGCCTCAGCCTCCTGAGTAGCTGGGATTACAGGCACATGCCACCATGCCCAGCTGATTTTTGTATTTTTAGTAGAGACGGGATTTCACCATGTTGGCCAGGCTGGTCTCCAACTCTCCATCCAAATACTAGAGTTTGTTCCACTTTTACCTTTCCGAAAGGCTTTTAAAGTCTCTTGCTGGGTGTGGGGCTCATGCCTGTAATCCCAGCACTCAAGTGATCAGCCCGCCTTGGCCTCCTAAAGTACTGGGCTGAGCTACCGCACCCAACCGATACAGCTCTTTTAAAAGAACCTCTAGTATAATGTTGACTAAAAGTGGTGAGAGAGGATGGCTTACCTTGTTCTCAATCTTAGCAGCATTAAGTGCAATCTTCCTCTCTTGAGTATAATGTTACCGTATTTTTCATTCTAATCTTTATCTAATAAAGTTTCCTTCTATTACAAGTTTGTTGGGAGTTTTACCATGTATGATGGTTCAGTGTTGTTAGATGTTTTTAATCTACATCTCTAAAGATGATTTTTCTCTTGATTATCAATGTGGTAAGTTACACTGATTTCTTAAAAATGTTAAAGCAACTTCACATTGCTGCAATAAACCCTGTTTGGTCATGATGCATCATCCCTTTGTATACCATTGACTTTGGTTTGATATTTTAAGAATTTTGCATTCAAGAGGGACATCATTCTATAATTTTTTTGTAATGCATTGTTAGTTTCATAACATGATTAATGCTGGTTTCATAGATGTTAGGGAAACTGTTCCTTCCTCAATTTTCTAGAAGCTTGTGTCCGAAAAAACGTCTTCAATCTTTAAATATTTGGTTGAATTCAGCTGTAAAACCATAAGGGCCTAGAGTTTTTGTTTGTTTCTTTGTTTGTGAGAAGGCTTTTACTTATAAATTCAATTTCTGTGATAGTTCAAGTTTTCTATATCTTGTGTCAGTTTTAGTTGTTTGTGCCTTTCAGTAAAACATGCTTACTTCATCTGAGTTTGTTGACATAAAATTGGTTATACATATTCTGTTATCCTTTTAATATGTACATAGGATCTTTAGTTGTATCTTCTTTTCATTTCCTGATACTGAAATTGATACATGCAGGAAACAGATAAGGGGGAGGATCTCCAGAGAATCTCCAATCCATCTGTGCACTGGGAGAACAAGGCAGAGTGCAGGGAAGCCACAGGTAAGCTCAGCGGGGAGGAGCCTGGCTTCTTCAGCTCCCGTGTGGTGGCCTGGAATTCAATCTGTGAGGTGTGGGCCTGTTAGCAGGACCCCCTTTCGCTTTGCTGAGAGTATTTTTCTTTTTTCTTTTACACCCAATAAATTTTGTTCCCCTCACCCTTCAATGTGTCCATGTTCCTCGTCCTTCCCGGTCGTGTGACAAGAACCTGGTTTTAGATTAAGTGAGGAGCAAAATTCTGCAACAAAGTGAGTTTTTTTTGATCAGTTGATCTGTTTATCAACTGTATCAAACTTTTCAAAGAAACAACTTCCGGTTTCATTGATTTTTCTCTATTGCTACTATTTCATTTCTGCTCTTATCTTTATTTCTATTTACTTTGGGTTTAATTTGCTCTTTTTTTTTCTAGCTTCTTAATGTGGAAGCTTAGATCATTTGTTTTAAGTCAGTTTCAGATATATTCATTTAAAACTATTCATTTCTCACTTAGCATTATTTTAGCTACATTCCATAAACTTTGATCTGCTGGTTTTTAACCATGCAAAATATTTTCTAAGTTCCCTTGTGATTTCTTTTTTTAAATCAAAGGTTTGCTTAGCATATGTAACTTAAGTTTCCAAATATATGGGGATTGTTCAGCTTTCTTTGTTAATGATTTCTACTTTAATTTCATGGTGGTTTCAATGTACTCTGTGGTTTCAATCCTTTGAAATGTATTAAGACCGTTTATGGCCCGATTTGTTTGTAGCATGTGACCTATCTTAATGTTTCATTTGCACTTGAAAAGAAGTATATTCTGTGGTATTGGGGATGTTGTTCTATAAATGTCAATTAGATTATATTTTTGCATAATGTCCAAAACTTCTGATCCTTAGTGTCTTTGATCCATTTATTCTATCACTGAGAGACAGTGGTGTACAATTTCCCAGTTATGATTATGGACTTGTATTTTCTCTTTTTTATTCTGTCAGTTTCTGCTTCCCGTATTTTGAAGCTTTGTTATTACGAGCATAAACTTTTAAGATTGTCATCCTGATGAACTCATCATTTTATTATGATAAAATGCCCCATTTTATTTTTGGTAATTCTTTTTGTCTTGAAGCCTGCTATGTCAGATATCAATATGAACACATCAGCTTTTTTTTAATGGTGATTATTTGCTTGGTATTTTTTTCCCCATTTTTACCTTTGACCATTTGTTTTTATATTTAAAGTGTGTCTCTTGCACACAACATATGCTAGATTCTTGCTGTTTTATTCAGTCTGATGATTTTTTAATTGATCTTTAGTTAATTCGCATTTAATGTGTATGTCTTCCGCGTGGGACAGATGCCTGTGTTTGTTGTTTGGTGGAGTTAAATCCCCCTGCTGTGTGCTTCCATGATACCCAGTAAATAGTCTTTTTTCAATAGTCTGCACATTGTAGATCTGCCTTCCCAGTGGACCATGCAGGCCTCGGTTTGTCCTGCTCATCACCGTATCTTTGCATTTTACAAAGACCTGGCACAAAACACGCATTCACTGAGATCTGCATTACATAGAATAAGATTTAAATAGAGGAAAGTGATGGCTTCCTTATCTTATGGAAGAAAACACTGAGGGCCAAAAAAGTCATGA